AAACAGAGTATATATATATATATATATATGGGGGGGGGGTGTCGTTGTTTTAACGCAAAAATACAAAAGTTTTCTGTGCTCTGATTCGAGCCCTTGAGTTTAACGTTGCAAGTCCGTAAACTTACAGCTGATCCACCAGGGGACAAGTATATTTAATTAAATGTAATTTTATGAAAAAAAAAAATACCTGAAAAAATAAGAAATAAATAAATCGCAGCCATAGTATACACATTCAGTACCGGGGCACAAATCGTAAGGTGGGTCATTATGTAATGTACGCTTGTTTTCTGAGGTAATGGCAGAAGTAAGACCCAAACTGCATTAAGGGTACACTTTCTATCCAGTTTAACCTCAACTTCGCCTGCCTCATATGTTTGGTGTTAACATTCCAGCCCCAATATGATGTTTGGACATAAATACCAAGTTGTTTAGGTATTACTATACTAAGCCCAACCAAGCCTAGTAGTATAGCTCCTGTCCTGCGCCCTTTCCATGTTACTATCTGGATCTTCAATGGTTCTAAAGAGATCCACACAGTAGCAGGTCTTATATAGGAAAGGTAATACAACTACTTTAATCTAACCATATGATATATGAAACGTCCAATAACAAATTCCAATTATTTCCTTAACAATAATTTTAGAAATTATTTTTATTGTGCAAATTATAATTTTGTTTAAATCACTATTTTCAAATTTATATAAATAATTATATTTATTATAAGACAATCTAAAATATTTAATTAAGGTTTTCTCATCAAACGCATACTAATAAAAATCATTAACATATCTGTATGTAAGGAAAATAATTCCATATAAAAATAACTAAGCGAAGGACATGTGAGTCATCGCTTACTACCACATTTTACAGCATTTGTAGCCAGAATAATAAAAACTATATACAGCTAGCTAGGCTGAATATAGTTGATACATTACTGATATATATAGTATCCATTATTTAAATATAAATAAATTAAAATATATATAATGAAATGGGCATGTGCGTAAATTAATACAGCTACACACACACAACCTTCATTAATACTATACTAATAATTTTGGTTGGGCTTAATATAGTAATACTTTATCAACTTGGCATTTATGTCCAAACATCATATTGGGGGTTGGAATGCGATCTTCAAGAATAGTTTGCTGCCCCCCCCCCATTGATGTATTGTATTCTATTTTTATGAGCAACCGCCTTCCCACATCTGGCTGCAGACAGCAAAAGGTAGTAAATATGTGGGATGTTGTGGGCTAGAGCCCCAAATCTGCTACATTTTTTTTTCATTTTTTCTTTTTTCTTAAGCATGTGAGGCCAGCGAAGTTGAGATTAAACTGAATAGACGGTGTACCTCCAACGTAATTTGAGACTTACTTCCACTAGTACCTCCAAAAACCAGGGCACATAATGATTCACCTTATGATTTATGCCCCGGAGTTGGATATTTTTATTATGATTGCGATCTATTTTTATTTTTTCATGTTCTTTTTTTTAAAATAAAATTACATTTAATTATATTTCATCCAAGGTTTGGATATGCTGCGTAAATTTCGCATTATCCTTCCTTTTGATGTATTCTCTATTTTTTTAACTTTCCGATATAAATATGTATATATTCGTAAATGTTATTGCTGTACCAACTAAAATTCTAGAACTATTCAATCATCAACATTAAACTTCCGATCAAAGAAGTCTACCTATACAGATCTATCTGAACTAAAAATTAGCTTGGTAATTAATGGAGTTAATTTATTATACCGGTCTAGCTCGTAGTAACTAATTTCTGTAAAGAAAAAACTTATTATAATTATAATACATTGATTTATCTGTGCAATATCCTCGTTTTACCTTCCCCAGGATGTTCAGAAGTTACTTGTTAATCGACATAGTTTTTTCAGAAAAGAAGACAGCCAACACACAGGTGAAAAATTAAACTTCCAATCACATTGGATGGTAACTGTTCGTGGGTTCGTTAGAGAAAATAAGGTTAATAAAATAGGCGTTGGTGAGAACAATAAGTTAAAATAGTGAAAGAAAACAAATGTATTACTACGTTTCAAACAAACGCTGTTTGTCAGGTAGTTGTATTACTCTGAAAGATACAACTTTCGAATAGTGTGGCTGCCTGACAAAGAGAGTGTTTTTCGAAACGTCATAATAAGTAGTAGATTCATTATAGAGCGCACAACAGAATTGAACAATTCTTCACGTGTTCGTTTACACTTCTTTATCTTACATATTAATTATTGTAGAGTCAGTTTGCAATAAATGGTTTTATTTTTCTGTAACGGAACGAATCAGAAGAAATTTACTATATGTGAATTTGTTTGTTTGAAGTTAAGCACAAAGCTACACAATGGGATATCTGTGCTCTGCCCACCATGTGTATCGAAACCCGGTTTTTAGTGTTCTAAGTTCGCATAATAGGTAAGAAAAAAATGAACTTTTCTTTTCTTAGTCTTGTTAATTATAAACAAAATTTTTTTATCGTTAATACTCATAAATTAATATACATCATAGTTCTAATTAATAAAAAGATGGTTAAATATATTAAATAGATATGAAATAAATAAATGAAGATCTTAGGAAAAAGTATCTGCAATTAACTTGTGCTTATACTAAATGTGAAAGAAGTTTGAACTATCTATAATGAAACAGCAAATAAATATAACTGGTTCTTTTCAATACGAATACTCAATCGTATATTATGACTAACGTAAAAGAAAAAGTATTAAGTATTTCAGTTAGGTAAACGAATCTTTTGTATTTCGCGTTACCTATCCGCTTTTGTAACTAATTTGTAAGAACTAAATATTTGAATATAAATAACACAAGTAAAAAAAAAGTGTTCGATATAAGTAACACAAAATGTACCACAACATTGAGCTGAAATATTATAAGAATGATGTTGTAGCTTCAATCTCTTTATCTAGCTATATAG